AAGCCCTGGGTTCAATTCCTCATCACTACATAAACAGAAAAAGTTGGAAGTGGCACTGTGGCTCAAATGGTAGAGTGCTTGCCTTGAGCAAGAGAAGCTCAGGGTCAGTGCCCAGGCCCTTAGTTCAAGCTCTAGGACTGGGGGGTGGGGGGAAACACTCTCAGGGACAATGTTGAAGCTTTGGATTCAAGCCCTAGGACCAACACACACACACACACACACACACACACACACACACACACACACACACACGTCTTATAGACTTACCTACCTGGGACAGGCTCAAACTACCAGATCTCGGCCTTCTGAGTAGCTAGGTTTACAGGCAAGCCACTGGTACCTAGCTTCAGCGTATTTCTTCATCAGGACCTCAGAGAAGCTACTGTGTGCCCAGCACTGATGAGGAAAAAGTCATGGAACAGGAAAATAGTCCAAGTGGGATGGAGTAATAGCCCAGAAAGAGCAAGGCCCTATCCGGGCACGGGTGGCTCATGCCTGTAATCCTAGCTATTCAGGAGCCTGAGATCTGAGGATTGCTGTTCAAAGTCAACCCGAGCAGGCAAGTCCATGAGACTCTTATCTCCAATGAACCGCCAGAAAACTGGAAATGGCACTGTGGCTCAAGTGGTAGAGCACCCACCTTGGGCTGAAAAGTTCAGGGACAGTACTCATGCTAGAGACAAAACCTCAGTCTCACATCTGCTGGGCAAGCACTCTATCTCTGACTCATTCATCTCCCTGTTTTGTTTTGGTATTATGCCACCTGAGCCACAGTTCCACTTCTACCATTTTGAAGATAAAGAATCTCATAAGGGACTGGGAAGGTGGCTCAGCGGTAGAGTGCTTGTCTTGCATTCATGAGGCCCTAGAGTTGATTCCTCAGCACCACATAAGCAGAAAAGGCCAGAAGTGGCGCTGTGGCTCAAGTGGTAGAGTGCTCCTCTTGAGCCGAATAGCTGAATGACAGCATCCAGGCCCAGAGTTCAGGCCCCCAAGACTGGCAAAAAAAAAAAAAAGAGAGAGAGAGAGAGAGAGAAAAGAAAAAGAGTCTCATAAATTTTCCTGCCTGAGCTGGCTTCAGACCACAACCTTCAGATCTCAGCCTCCTGAGTAACTAGGATTACAAGCGTGAGCTACCAGCTCCTGGCTCTTTTTCCTTTTTCCTTTTTTTGTGGTGAGAGGCCACAAAAAGGGTGGGTGAGCAAGTGCAGTCATGCACAGTATCCACTATATGGAAAAAGTGAATTATGTTAAGTTGTGTCCCAGGGTGGGAGGGAGAAACGGAGAGAAAGGAAAGGTAGGAGTAACATTGTCCAAAAAGAAATGTCTGCCGGGCATCGGTGGCTCACTCCTGTAATCCTAACTACTCAGGAGGCTGAGATCTGAGAATCGCGGTTCAAAACCAGCCTGGGAAGAAGTCCGTGAGACTCTTATCTCCAATAAAAAAAAAAACACTAGAAAACCAGAAGTGGCATTGTGGCTCTGGCAGTAGAGCCCTCACCTTGAGCTGAAGAGTGCTGGGACAGCGCCCAAGCCCAGAGTTCAAGCCCCACGACCGACAAAAAAAGAAAAATAAAGAAATATCCTCATTATCCAACTTATGAAATAATAACCCCTCTGTACACGCCTTACTAATGACAATAAAATTATAGTTAAAAATAGCAAAGTAGGGGCATTGCCTTGTTGTCATTGAACATAGTGCTACTGACCTGGTTAAGTCAGGTAATATTGGTTTGGCAGATTACTGGAGATATATTTATCATTTTTCAAAATGGGTCAGTAAGTCCTGCCATTAGCTACTTGACGTCAGTCATCAGCTTAAAAATTAACAACACCTTGTCCTCTGAAGTGTGTTCCAGTTTGGACCTTTGGTTAAAGGTCACCCTGTCTGTCACAGGAGGGACTGTGCAGGGTCATTTGAGGAGGTACCTAGTATGGGGCTTGGCAGGTTATAGTGGCTTCATAAATACCGGCTTATAGGGTTTGTTTGGTTTTTTTTTTTTGTCTTGTTTTGTTTTTGTCAGTTGTGGGGCTTGAACTCTGGGCCTGGGCGCTGTCCCTCAGCTCTTCAGCTCAAAGCAAGTGCTCTACCACTTGAGCCACAGCGCCACTTCTGGCTTTCTGGTGGTTAATTGGAAATGAGAGTTTCACAGACTTTCCTGCCTGAGCTGGCTTTGAATTGTAAATGAGAGTTTCACAGACTTTCCTGCCTGAGCTGGCTTTGAATTGTAATCCTCAGATCTCAGCCTCCCGAGTAGTTAGGATTACAGGCAGGAGCCACCAATGCCCAGCTGGATTGTAGTTTTTTTTTTAGGCATTCAATTTAGAACCCTGGAGGTCATGCCTGGGAAGCAAGGGACCTACAGTTGAGCCATACCCTGTCACTATAGGATCAAGAATTGTGCATGTGGCTAGTACCCGTGGCTCATGCCTGTAATCCTAACTACTCAGGAGGCTGAGATCTGAGGATTGCAGTTCAAAGCCAACCTGCACAGCAAAGTCCTCATGAGACTCATCTCCATTGAACCACCAGAAAACCTAAAGTGGTAGAGCACTAGCCTTGAGAGAAATAGCTCAAGGTCAATGCCCAGGCCCTGAGTTCAAGACCTACAATTTACTTTTAAAAAAATGAAAAGAAAAAGAGGGCTGGGAAGGTGGCTCAGTGGTGGAGTGCTTGCCTTGTTTTTTGTTGTTGTTGGTCTCAGGGCTTGAACTCTGGGCCTGGGCGCTGTCCCTCAGCTCTTCAGCTCAAGGCTAGTGCTCTACCACTTGAGCTACAGCACCACTTCTGGATTTCTGGTGGTTTATTGGAGATAAGAATTTCACGGACTTTCCTGCCCGGGCTGGCTTTGAACCTTGATACTCAGATCTCAGCCTCCTGAGTAGATAGGATTACAGGCGTGAGCCACCAGCACCCAGCTTGACTACATATCTTGTCTTAGTGTTTACAGCAGTGCCATCCAACATGGCAAGGAGTAGTCACGGTTACTTTGCCCTTGAACTTTGGCTGATCTAAACTGAGACATGCCAGAAGCTTCCAGTGCATGCCAGATTCTAATAACTTAGAACAATCAAACCAAAACCAGCGTCAAGGTACGTCAGTAATAATGTTGATATTGATTCCTTGTTGAAATAGTAACATTTGGCTATAATGGATTCAATAAAAATATTCCTTTCCTTTGTGTGTGTATGTGTATGTGCGTGCACGTGCAAATGTGTGCCCAGAATCAAACACAGGGCCTCATACGTGCTAAGCCACTGAGCCCTACTGGTGGCTGGGGGCAGAGAGGGGTCTCACAAACTTTTTCCCCGGGCTGGCTTTGAACCTCGATCTTAAGATCTCAGAGGAGGGGTTGGGAATGTGGCTTCATAGTAGAATGCTTGCCTAGCATGCATGAAGCCCTGGATTCAATTCCTCAGCACTACATAAACAGAAAAAGCTGGAAGTGGCACTGTGGCTCAAGTGGTAGAGTGCTCGCTTTGAGCTAGAGAGCTCAGGGTCGGGGCTGAGAAGGTGGCTCAGTGGTAGAGCGCTTGACTTGCATGCATGAGGCCCTGGGTTCGATTCCTCAGCACCACATAAGCAGAAGAAAAAAAAGCCGGAAGTGGTGCATGGCTCAAGTGGAAGCATGCTAGCCTTGAGCTGAAGAGCTGAGCGACAGCGCCCAGGCCCAGAGTTTAGGCCCCAGGACCGGACCCAAAAAAAAAAAAAATAAAGAGAGAGAGAGAAGCTCAGGGTCAGTGCTCAGGCCCTGAGGTCAAGCCCCAGAACTGGCAAAAAAAAAAAAAAATCTCTGGGGAGCTAGGATTACACAGTTGAGCCACCATACCTGGCTATGTCTCTTCTAAACATGCAAACTTGTCTTGGCACACTCATGGCCTTCTGATTCTTGAAACATGTAGAAGATTTTATTATTTATTTTATGTGGCTCTGGGGATCAAACCCAGGTCCTTCCAAAACAACAACAAAAAGAAACATGGATAGTAGAAAAAAAAATACTAGTTGGGTGCAGATGGCTCACATCTATAATCCTGAGGATTACAGTTCAAAGCCAGTCCAGACCAGACAAATGTGAGAAACTGGGAGGTATGGCTCAAGTGGTAGACTACTGGCTTCAATTAAAAAAAAAAAAAAAAGCTAAGTAAGCTGGGTATCAGTGGCTCACACTTGTATTCTTAGCTACTCAGAAGGTTGAGATACCAGGATCTCAAGTTCAAAGCCAGCCCAAACATGAAAGTCTGAGATTTATCTCCAATTAATCATCCAAAAGGCTGGTAGTGAATTTGTGGCTCAAGTGGTAGATCTCTTGGGCACAAAAGCTCAGGGATGATGCTCAGGCCCTGAGTTCAAGCCCCAGGACTGGCACCAAAAAAAAAAAAAGCTACTCATCAGTGGCTCACACCTATAGTCCTCGCATCTCAGGAGGCTGCAATCTAAGGATTGTAATTTGAAGCCAGCTGGGCAGGAAAGTCCATGAGACTGTTATCATCTCCAAACCACCAAAAAAAATCCAGAAGTGGAGCTATGGGTCAAGTGGTAGAGTATTAGCCTTGAGCAAAATGTAGCTTGGGGACAATGTCCAGGCCCTGAGTTCAAGACCAGCACCAAAAAAACAAACCAAACAAAATGGGTTTGAGGTCCATGTCAGACAATAGGGTCCTGAATTCAAACAAACAAACAAAAAAAGAACTGTTTAAATATGATTAGGAAGGAAGTCTCCTTTTTCCTTCCACTTGCTTCCCTAGTGACTGAACTGTACGAGGGTTTTTTTTGGTTTGTTTGCTTTGGGGTTTTCTTGGTGATTTTGAAAGTGAAGACAAGGGTGAGTCACATCAGAACGTCTTCGAGGAGGGCAGCTGGGATAGGCTGGCAGAGGTGGGGGGGGAGAACCCCAGCCTGTGCTCACCCGCTGGGGACACACTCCACACCCCAGGAGCATGTCTCCTTGGACTTTGCTTTTCAAAACAAACCAAAGAACAAGGCACGAAATGTTCTGAGGTTGCTTTTTATTCCAAGAATCCCATGGCTTCTGCCAGGGTGCCATCGCTGGCACCGCAGCATCCCCCATACAAGAGCACCAGGAGGGTATTGGGGACCCCCTCCCCCTCCCAGGGATCCCCATTTCCCCAGCCAGTCAATATGACTGAGTCTGCCATCAAGGGCCGGCCTGGCCATCCCAGAATGGTCCCTCTGCCTCCTCAGCTCCTCAGGCAGGCAAGAAGTGGGGTTCACACTGTATAACCCCGTCATCCTACACTTTCCCCAGGGACCATCCCTCGCCCTGCCGTCCTGATCTCACAGAATACGCGCAGCACCCCACTCAGAACTGGGGGTTCTCTCCAGTCAAGGGCTTCTTCTCTGTCCACAAAGCTCCACGTGGCCCCTGCTGGGCGCCCCATGACCAGACACAGAGCACTCAAAATCCTTGAGCCAAACTCAAGGTCATTGTCCTTCTCGGCCTGAGACCAGGCCCCAGTGGGAGGCTAAGAGGCTTCTTTGTCCTCTGTGGCTTGGATCAGCATGGTGGTCGCCTGCAGTGGGTAGTAGCGGCCCCGCCAGCCCTTCCAGAACATTCCCTTCTTACGCTGCTGTCGTTGATGGGGCATGGAATGGAAATACTGGCCATTGAGGTTGGAGTGACCACAGGTGCCGAACCACCATCCACCTGCCGGGTCAAAGGACAGAGGACACGGTCAAGGCCCTGCATTCTCCACGAAGAGGAAGATGGCCCTGGTAGTGATAGACAAACCATTCCAAAGGACACCCAGGTTGTGACAAAGTGAGGGGGAAAATGGGGGACCCTGGGCATCTCATTAATCACAGGTAGTCAGCTTTTCTGCCTTGGGAACAAGGTAGACTTATTGACAATCTCCCCTGGAGATCAAAAGGATCATAGTTGAAGGCCAACCTGAGGAACATGTTAGTGAGATCCTCATCTCAACCAACAAGTCAGACTACCTACACCTGGCCCTCCAGCCATGTAGGAGGCCATGGATAAGAAGATCTTGGATCCAAGGCTGGATGTGGGCAAAAATGAGAGACCCTACCTGAAAAATAACTAAAGAAAAAAACAAAACAAGAGCAGAGAGGCATGGCTCACTTCAGAAGCCCTGAGTTCAAACCTCAGTACTGCAGAAGAAAAGAAAAGAAAACAAAAGAAAAGCCAGGGACTGGTGGCTCACGCCTGTAATCTTAGCTGAGATCTGAGGATAGAGGTTCAAATCCAGCCCAGGCAGGAAAGTCCTGAGACTCTTTTTTTTTTTTTTTGTCGGTCGTGGAGCTTGAACTCTGGGCTTGGGCGCTGTCCCTCAGCTCTTCAGCTCAAGGCGAGCGCTCTACCACTTGAGCTACAGCGCCACTTCCGGTTTTCTGGTGGTTTATTGGAGATAGGAGTCTCACGGTCTCTCCTGCCCGGGCTGGCTTTGAACCGCGATCCTCAGATCTCAGCCTCCTGAGTAGCTAGGATTACAGGCGTGAGCCACCAGCGCCCGGCTTTTTTTTTTTTTTTTTTTTTTAATCTACATTTTTTTTTTTTTGGTCCGGCCGTGGGGCCTGAACTCTGGGCCTGGATGCTATCCCTCAGCATTTCAGCTCAAGGCTAGCGCTCTACCACTTGAGCCACAGCGCCACTTCCGGCTTTTTTTTTTTCTTTTTGCTTATGTGGTGCTGAGGAATCGAACCCAGGGCCTCTGGCATGCAAGGCAAGCGCTCTACCACTGAGCCACCTTCCCAGCCCCAGTCCTGAGACTCTTATCTCCAATTAATACCAGAAAACCAGAAGTGATACTGTAGCTCTCAAGTGCTAAAGTGTTTACCTTAAACTGAAGAGCTGAGGGATAGCGCCCAGGCCCAAAGTTCAAGCCCATGACCAACAAAAGAGAAGGGGGGAACAAGTCACTTTATCTTTTTTTTTTTTTTTTCTGTCAGTCCTGGGGCTTGAACTCAGGCCTGGGCACCGTCCCTGAGTTTTTTTTTTTTTTTTTGCTCAAGGCTAGCACTCTACCACTTGAGCCACAGTGCCACTTCTGGCCTCTTCTGTTTATGTGGTACTGAGGAATTGAACCCAGGGCTTGGAATCCAGGGCTTCATGCATGCTAGGCAAGTGCTCTACCACTAAGCCACATTCCCAGCTCTGTAATTTTATCTTTTCCTTCACAGAGCCAAGGCTTTGCCTCCAATTTTACAGGGACCAGGTGTATCTCAGCTTCGCCCCATGCCAGCCCCATCCCACGAATGTCTCACAGAATTGTCCTAACAGCCACACATAGTACATGCCACCATTGGACCCATTTTAAAGACAGGAAAACTGAGGCCAGAATTGTGATCAGGCAAAGCAACAAAGCACCATAAGAAGATGAGGAGGGGACTTCAGGGTAGGAGGTGGGACAGGTTGAAGACAAAGCCTGCTCACCAGAGAGGCTCTTGGCACAGTTCAGATCCCCTCGGAGGTCGTGGTCCTGGTCCCATGTGGAGAAGGGCAGGGAGAGGCCGTTTGATGTGGCCACCGAGACTCCCAGCTCACTGGCCACGGGGGCGGTGAGCTGCAGGCTGTAGGCTGTGTCCTCGCCGCCCAGGTGGACAGGAAACTTAAGAGATTTGGCATTACCATCTCTGTCCTGAAGCTGCACAGCCAGGCGGCCACCACGGTCCCCAGTGATACTGTGGATTTTCTCCAGGCCCAGCCAGAACTCGCCTGCAGAGGGAGATGCCACCTGGTAAGGAGGGCACACATCCCCACACCTCTCCCCTCCCTGCCTTTCACCCAGCCCAGAAGTACCCACCTTGGGGGTCCCCAAAGCCGGCCTTGTAGGCTTCCCAAGGCTGGTTGAAATCCACAGAGCCATCTTGGCGCCTCTGAATCACAGTCCAGCCCCCCTCTGTCCGGAGAGAGAGAGAGAGGTGCAGGGTCACCAGGAGATTCCCTCCTCAAAAGGCTTGACCCTATTGGCTCCCCAACCCTAAGATTCCCCCAAACCCAGGGAGAGTAGGAGAAGGAAAGTGAGACAGAAGCATGAATAGCAAGCAGGGGATTGAGGCTAGACCTTTGTCCCAAGGAATGGCAGGGAAGAGGGGCTAGAGAAAATCTGCAAAACCAGCTGCAGGGATTAAGTATAGAAAGTTCATTTATGGAAATAGGGTGAGGTTGAACCCGAGGCCTTTGTACATGCTAGGCCTGTTCTACCTCTGTGCTATGTACAACTGGCTTTTTTTCCCCCTCAGTTGTAGGGCTTGAACTCAGGGCCTGGGCACTGCCCCTGAGCTCTTTTTGCTCAAGGCTAATGCTCTACCACTTGAGCCACAGCTCCACTTCCAACTCTTTGGGTATTTCATTGGAGATAAGAGTCTCACAGACTTTCCTGCCTGGGGCTGGCTTCCAACTGTGATCCTCACTCAAATCTTAGCCTCCTGAGTAGCTAGGATTACAGGTGTGAGCTACTGGTGCTGGGCTTGTGGCAGCATTTTAAAAGCAGCAACAGGATTATACAGGGCAAGAGGGCTCCCTCGGTAAGCCAAGGCCTCCTACCTGAGGTCATCTCACAGTTAACCAGGAATGGTGGGGATCCCTGAGGCTGGATCTGGAAAAGTCCACTCTGCCGCTGGCCATCTTCGAAGAGCTCCTGGCAGTCCTTAGGCAGTTCTGAAGGCAGACAGAAAGAAGAGCTGATGCAGGAGAGAAACCCCAGAGTGTCAGGAGACAGTCATGTCTAAGGGCTGGGGATGTGGAGAAAGTGGGTGAGAGGCAATCTTACTCTTAGGACTCCACTATCAGCTAGATTCTTCCCTGGCTTCCAATGGCCTTGGTCAATATGATTGACAAGGTTCACTGAAGATTGTTCTCCCTCCTCCCACATTGCACCCCCACCACCTCCTTTCTTTTGTGTCCAGTATCTGGGGCTTGAACTCAGGGTCTAGGCTTGGTCCCTTAGCCTTTTTTTTTTTCCTGACAGTTGTGGGGCTTGAATTCTGGGCCTGGTGCTGTCCCTCAACTATTCACCTCAAGCTCTACCACTTGAGCCACAGCGCTATTTCTGGTTTTCTGGTGATTAATTTTCTTTTTTGGGGGGTCCAGTCATGGGGCCTGAACTCTGGGCCTGAGCGCTGTCCCTCAGCTCTTCAGTTCAAGACTAGCACTCTACCACTTGAAGCCACAGTGCCACTTCAGGCTTTTTTCTTTTTGCTTATGTGGTGCTGAGGAATCGAACCCAGGGCCTCAGGCATGCAAGGCAAGCGCTCTACCACTGAGCCAACTTCCCAGCCCACTGGTGATTAATTAAAGATAAGAGTCTCACGGATTTTCCTGCCCCGGCTGACAGCCTCCTGAGTAGCTAGGATTACAGGTGTGAGCGAGCCACCAACGGCAAGCTCCCTTGGCTTTTTTACTCAAGGCTGGTGCTCTACCACTTGTTCCACAGCTCCATGTCCAACTTTTTACTGGGTAATTGGGAGATAGGAGTTTCACAGGCTTTCTTGTCCAGGCTGGCTTCCAACCTCGATCCTCAGAGCTCAGCCTCCTGGTTAGCTGGGAGTACAGGCATGAATCTCCAAGCCTGGCTGTACCCCACCCTTGCTGCACACGGAGGCTTCTCTCGTATCTCCCCCACCCTTCCTGAACCACAAACCCTCCTGCCACAGGGAATTTACATGTGCCACTTGCTGTCCAGGAGTCTCTTTCCTCCTGTTTCTGGGTCCCAGTGTCTGGATGCTTTCCCTCACCCCCAGACCAACCCCCACTCAAGTTATCTGGAGGTGTCTCCCTTCTCTCCCCCACCTAGCACCCGAGACACAAAGCAGCTCCCTCTCCAGCCACTAAGCATGTGCCCCTCACCCTGGTCATAGGCCACAGTTGGTGTTTTAATAAAGACTAGAAAGAAAGGAGCTGGAGAACAAGGAATGTGGCTTAGTGGTAGAGTGCTCACTTACCATGCATGAAGCCCTGGGTTCGATTCCTCAGTACCACATAAACAGAAAAAGCCAGAAGTGGTGCTGTGGCTCAAGTGGTAGAGTGCTAGCCTTGAGCACATAGAGGCCCAAGGACAGTGACCAGGCCCTGAGTTCAAGCTCTGGGACTGGCAAAAAAAGAAGGAGGAGGAGAAGGAGGGGCTGGGAAGGTGGCTCAGTGGTAGAGCGCTTGCCTTGCATGCCTGAGGCCCTGGGTTCAATTCCTCAGCACCACATAAGCAAAAAGAAAAAAGCCGGAAGTGGCACTGTGGCTCAAGTGGTAGAGCGCTAGCCTTGAGCTGAAGAGCTGAGGGACAGCGCCCAAGCCCAGAGTTCAGGCCCCACAACCAGACCCAAAAAAAAAATTAAAATTAAAGGAGGAGGAGGAGGGAGCTGGGGTGGAAGGGGGGAGGTGCACGGAGGCAGATGCTGAGCTCAGCACAAAGGACTTCGACTTGTATAGTGGGGGAGGGTGCTGATGGAGTCTGGATGAGACTTGAGGTGACTGAAGCTCTGGTCTCACTGTGAGAAAGCTTAGGGAACAAGTCTGGAGGGAGAAGGAGGAAGAGAGGAGAGGAGGCAAGAAGGAACTTGGTCTTGGCAGGATCAGGAGGGCCCGCTCCCCCCCCCCAAGCTGAGAAAGTAGGGGAAAGGTCGTGGGGGGGGCAGGCGGGGACTCTCCTCCAATGAGTATATTCACTCCCCCCCCAGGAGGAGCTGGCTCTGAACCCCAGGAGGACACTTTCCGGCCCCTCAGGCAGCTCCCCTTTTCCCTACTTTTCCTCTCATCCAATCAGGACAGGCAGCTGGCCAAGCCACCAATGTGGTCAGCTTCACAGCCAGATGTTTGTATCCCCGGTTCTGAACTTTCCCCTACTTGGCTGGCCTGAGTCTGGGAGTCCCAAACCTTCACAACACCCTCCTTTTTTTCCCCCACCATCTCTCCCAAGCCAGGGCGTATGCCTGCGGCTCCCACCCCACCCCCAAGCGCCCCTCATCCCAGGATGACTGCACATCTGCCTGTGGGGGAGGGGTGCGCCCTAAGGGCTGGAAGTCAGCCACCAGCCTGCCCTGGGTGTGAAATGGGGGATCCAAACTTTCACCCAGTTGGCAGTGGACAGCCACAGATGGCGGGGCGCAAGGTAACAGGGTGGACATGAACTTAGGGTGGGAACTGAGAACTTGTGTCAGATAGACACATGTGCCATGGTTTGGGATGGGGGAGGGTGGACTTGGAATGTGCACAATAAAGGACCAAGAGATGCCCTCCCCCCAAAAAAGCTCATTCAGTATGGGCATGTGTGTGCGTGTGCAAATATGTACAGGCTGGATAGAGACTTGGGGAACAGATAAAAGGCATGAGGGACCAGGAACACTGGATTTGTAAGATTTAAGCGTGGCTTGTGTGCAGGGGCTGCCTCCACCTGTCAACCTAGCTGTTCAAGAGGCTGAGATCTGAGGATCTGGGTTCCTAGCCAGCCCTGAGAAGGAAACGTGTTTTTTTTGTCTTCTTTTTTTTTGGGGGGGGGGTCTGGTTGTGGGGCCTGAACTCTGGGCCTGGGCGCTGTCCCTCAGCTCTTCAGCTCAAGGCTAGCACTCTACCGCTTGAGCCACAGTGCCACTTCCGGCTTTTTTCTTTTTGCTTATGTGGTGCTGAGGAATTGGACCCAGGGCCTCAGGCATGCAAGGCAAGCGCTCTACCACTGAGCCACCTTCCCAGCCCATCTTTTCTCTTTTGGTACTGGGGATCGAACCCAGGACGTTGCACTTGCTAGGCAAGTGCTTTGCCACTGAGTTACATCCCAGCCCTCCATGAGGCTTTTATCTCCAGTTAATCACCAAAAAGCTCAAGTGGTTCAAGTGGTAGAGTGCCAGCCTTGAATGGAAAAAGCTACATGACAGCACCCAGGTCCTAAGTTCAGGCCCTAGGACTGGGAACTGGGGGTGAGGGGGGTCTCTCCCCTCATTCCCCCTAATATAGTTCAAGTTCCTCACTGTCCCACCCCAGCTCCAGCTAGGACATGAGGCGTTTGCTGGGAAGACCACATAGGGTCAGGTCTGAGGGGGGCGTGGGGCTCTCCCCATCAACCCCTCACTAGTGAGCCCAAGGGACATAAGGCAGGACTTCTGTCTGTCTCCTAAGGTAGGCCCCACAGGGAGATGGGGACCAGGATGGAAAGTGGGAAGGTGGGATGAGCTGGGGACAGGACTGGAGGACAGAGAAACGATCAGACACTCACTGTGCAAGCTGGTGGCATTGGGAGCCAGACCAGAAGGCTGGGCCATCTTGGGGAGCCTCTTTTTAGTGGCAGGCTGGATCACCCCGTTGTCTAGGTGTGTGGGGGCCAGAAGGGCAATCTGAGTCAGGAGAAGAAGGTGGATCGGCGTTAGATCAAATGGCTCGAGCTGCTGAGTTTTTAGATTTGTTAGCTCGATGCCAGCAGGGACAGGACGACAGGCCCGGCCTTGCCTGGCCTTGCCCGGTCCTCCTCAGCTGGGCCGGGTCCTAGGGTGGGTACCTTGTTCTGCAGATGTTGGATTCTCAAGTGTTGCTTCTCCAGATGTCGCTGCTGCTGAGCCACTTTGAGGAACAGTTGGTGGATCCTGCCATTTTGAACCTTCAGCTGTGTCTGGGGGGGTAGGTGAAGGAGGGCAAACCTCACTGAGAATCTGGGCTCAGGTGTCCAGCCTCCCCATCCATCCTCCCCCACCATCCATCCTTCCAAATGTCCATCCTTTTGCAACCAAAGCAAAAGAGCCCAGAGAGCCCCAGGCCTGTCCCTCTCCCCACTCCTCACCCCCAGGCATGCAGGATTTTAGGCACAGCTACACCTTCCCCCTTCCCTCCCAAACCCTCCTGGAAGCCGCTCCTACCTGGAGATCGCGCAGGATCTCAGGAGCCACCTCACCACCGGCGGCGGCGGCGGCGGGGACGGCGCCCGGACGCTGGGGATGCGCGGAGGGGACCCCGGTGGTCTCGGATGTCTGGCAGGCCGCGCCGCAGGCGGCCAGGCGGCGCTCCAGGGCGCCCAGCTGCCCTCGGGTGCGCTCTACGTGTTCGTGCAGCCCGCGGCCGAGCTGCAGGAGCCCGTGGGCCAGCACGTTCATCTCGTCCCAGGACGCGAAGCGCGGGGGCTCGG